TATATCACGATCCTCATATGTTTCATATCTAAATGCTCCGTTATCTTCATCACTACTTTCCAAAACCGCTGCAGCAGCTTCAGCAGCTGTAAACTCTCTGCACGCCGTTTCACATGAGTCTCCGATGTGGACTGAGTGAAGAATGAAGGGTTTCCGGCGTGATGGTCAGTCCTTAGTGATTTCCTGAGTGTCCATTGGTCAGTTTCACACAGAATGTAGACGGACACACCAATCCACCAGTTCCACACGGTGAGAGGCAGATGACGTGTATCTCAGCCCCTCTTCATAGGCTCATAACTCCGGATGTGAGTCTCGTATGATCTCGAGATAAGATGGAATGGAAAGGGCGACTCTACAGATTCAGGAAGTGTCTGAACTGGATTTCTGAGCTGGATCATCACAAAGATAAACAAACAGAGACAGAGAATCTGACGTGTGGGTGAGTTTGTGGAGCCCAGAGGGTTAAAAAAGATTGAAACTTATCAGTGACTACACACGGTGTAATACACATTACACAGTAAAGTTACCCTGAGTTTAAAATGGGTTATGAGGCTGAGTGGCTGTGAGGTTGTGAGGCTATGAGGCTGAGTGGCTGTGAGGTTGTGAGGCTATGAGGCTGAGTGGCTGTGAGGTTGTGAGGCTATGAGGCTGAGTGGCTGTGAGGTTGTGAGGCTGAGTGGCTGTGAGGTTGTGAGGCTGAGAGACTGTGAGGCTGCAAGGTTGTGAGGCTATGAGGCTGAGTGGCTGTGAGGTTGTGAGGCTATGAGGCTGAGTGGCTGTGAGGTTGTGAGGCTGTGAGGCTGAGAGGCTGTGAGGTTGTGAGGCTATGAGGCTGAGTGGCTGTGAGGCTATGAGGTTGTGAGGCTATGAGGTTGTGAGGCTGTGAGACTGTGAGGCTATGAGGTTGTGAGACTGTGAGGCTATGAGGTTGTGAGGCTGTGAGGTTGTGAGGCTGAGGTTGTGAGGCTGTGAGGTTGTGAGGCTATGAGGTTGTGAGGCTGTGAGGCTGTGAGGCTGTGAGGTTGTGAGGCTGTGAGGTTGTGAGGCTATGAGGCTGAGTGGTTGTGAGGCTATGAGGTTGTGAGGTTGTGAGGCTGTGAGGTTGTGAGGTTGTGAGGCTGTGAGGTTGTGAGGCTGTGAGGCTGTGAGGTTGTGAGGCTGTGAGGTTGTGAGGCTGTGAGGTTGTGAGGTTGTGAGGCTGTGAGGTTGTGAGGCTATGAGGTTGTGAGGCTGTGAGGTTGTGAGGCTGAGAGACTGTGAGGTTGTGAGGCTATGAGGCTGTGAGGCTGAGTGGCTGTGAGGTTGTGAGGCTGAGTGGCTGTGAGGCTATGAGGTTGTGAGGCTGTGAGGCTATGAGGTTGTGAGGTTGTGAGGCTGTGAGGTTGTGAGGCTGTGAGGTTGTGAGGCTGTGAGGCTGTGAGGTTGTGAGGTTGTGAGGCTGTGAGGTTGTGAGGCTGTGAGGCTGTGAGGCTATGAGGCTGTGAGGCTGTGAGGCTCAGCTGCTGATGATGACGTGCTCCGTCTCTTTCACTCATCAGGTTGTTATATTTGTATAAATATGTATTTTAATGGTAACCTGACCTCTGGAGTCTTTTTCTCCTGCTGTAGCTGTGAAAAGTCAAGGAGAGCGAGAGCAGCATGAACACTAAGGGGTTAATCTGCTCACTGATACTTCAGCTCTGTTTTAAAATATTACACATTTAATTCACATTATAATAAATCTAAATATTGTAGGGCTTCATTTTTTGATTTTTTTTACTTCTTTTTTTTCTTTTGCTTTTCTTTGCTGACCATCAGAGTCCGACTCTGTTTGTGTTGAAACATCAGCTTTTCATGATCCAATCAGAAACCGACATTTTCAGTTCTGTACTGGACAGGAAGTAGCTGTCGCTCCTCCTTTCTGTCTCTCTCCTTGTGCCTGTAAGGAGTGATTATAGAGGCTCTGAGTCTTCAGTGGTCTGTCTGATCTCAGAGGGACCAACGCGTGTCAGACTATTGATATTTTTCAGACAGGATTTGTTTTTCATGAGGAGGTGGACAATGAGATTTTACTCCAGGACGAGAAATCTCAGTATAAAGGACAGAGATTGGAGTGGCCACTCAGTTTACGCGCTGACTTCACTCCAGAGTAGAAAACAATTCAAAACATGTAATTCAGCCATCATTTCATTTACCCTGACCATCCATCTTCTCTTAGCTGAGAGCCGTGTGTCACTGGCTTTGTCATTAGTTGGGAATTCAAACCCAGCAGTCAGTGTCGCCACATAAAATCAGCCTTTTTCCTGTCATGTCTACATTTTGATGCCCAGCGCTGTAAACTTGAGGTAGGACAGTCCATATCGGCTTGATTTTAGCCTCAGAGAGCAGAAGAAAATTTCTCCTTTTCCACAGAATGTGAGAGCGTTCACAGGATTAATATACCTGAGATGATGACTGTGGATGGTTTCATAGGAGCTAAAAGCCACTGAAATGACTGGCACATTCAGATGGGATTAAAACCACTGAGAAACACCAGGGAAATTTACTGCAACTCCTTATGTAACAAAATCCCATCTGAATACGGCCTTAATCTCAATCGGCTGGAGAAAGTTTTTATTTAGCCACAGTTCGACGTCTTTAATGCAGTCAGAAAGGGTTTTAAAGACTTGTTACTCCCAGGATTCAGTAGTAGGAACGGTACGTCTGGGTGTCGTCTGCGTAACAGTGATAAGAAATGCCATATTTCTTGATAAACTGCACCAAGTGGAAGAATGAAGAGAATGTTTACTCCTCGCTTTAACATGCGCTTCGGGTGATCGGATCATGTTCAGACTTCACTTGACCGCATAAAAGGTGAGCTGTAAACATTCCCAGGACACTTTGTGATCACAAGTGTAAATGAAGTGCATTTTCATTGTCTGTGCACAAAAACATGAGCGAAAAGACGGAGGACACGCGAGGCTGAAGTTGTTCCCTAAACCAGGAGCTTTTTTATGTGGAAAAAGTAAAATCGGATTATAAACTGGAGCGTTTAGTGGAAATTATGAATGGAATCCGGCCAAAGTTTATCCAGACATGATCTGGACACAGAACATATGTCAATGTAGGACCAATAACTGGGTCACTAGTCAGAAACTTGGTACAAATGAACATGTCTGCAGCAGGCCTGGCGTCAGGGGCTTTGTCCTCGTTCCGTTGCTGTGGTCCAGATCAAAGCAGAAAATTAACTTTGAACTAAAAGATGTAAACAAAACTGTTCTCTGTTCTCTGCGGTCACTGATTTTATTGACATCTTGTTTTTTATATCTTGTAATATCAAAGCAATAAGCTGCAAGATTCCCTGTATTACTGTATTTTTGCATGATGCACTGCAGGGTCAAATCCCTGTAACACAGCCTTGAGTGCCTACCTGCTTTTATAAAACAGCACCTCAGTACATAATAGGTTTTATGTGTGCAGTCGAGTATATTATAATGGCTTTAAACAAGCCTCGGCCTCGTTTCAAAACCATGTTCAGATTCAGAGCTTTTGACAGAGTGATAAAAAACATGCACAGGTCAAAACAGCATCAGAAACCCGCCTTTTCCACAAACCAAAGACGTTCTGCAGAGAGGAGGTGACGGTTCGTTCTGGTCCTAACTAGTTGGTTGTTACTGCTCAATACATTATCTGTGCTGGATTATTTCTGAGCCCTGCACTAACATGGTGGTGGTGTGTTAGTGTGTGTTGCACTGGTGCGAGTGGATCAGACACAGCAGTGTCACTGCTGCACTGAAATATATATATATATATATATATATATATATATATATATATATATATATATATATATTTTAACAGAAAAAATAAATAATATATATATATATATGTATATATATATATATATATATATATATATATATATATATATATGAAAGTATATATCTTTCTGCATTGATGGTGTTTTCTCAGTGTGGGTGGTCCTTTTCTTCTTTAGCCTGGAGGACACAACATCCATTATTTCCATTAATAATCTGAGAGGTTGATTCATCAGACAACAGTACACGTTTTACTGAGCATCAGTCCATTTCAGATGAGCTCAAGCCCAGAGAAGTCGGCAGCGTTTCTACATGTTGTTGACAGATCGTTTCCGCTGTGCATAGTACACTTTTACTTTCGTTACATTCGTGATGCAGCAGTGAGCAGTTTTACTGGCAAAGTATTTATTGACAAAGTGTTCATAGTCAAAGTGTTCCTGATCCCATGTGGTCATATTTATTTCAGAAACATGTTTGTTTATGTTTGAGGGGTTGAAGGTCATTCAGTTGTGGTTTTTGGCTTTTTATGCACAGAGATTATTTCATTTTTCCTGGATCTTTTGATGCTATTATGCACTGTAGAGGATGAAATCCTTGAAAACGATTATTGAGGAACGCTGTTCTTAAACAGTTGGACTATTGCTGATACATTTTTTGGCAAAGTAGCAAACCTCAGCACTTCTTAGCTCATAAAGGACTCGGCCTTTCCTGGATGCTCCTTTTATACCCAAGCATGGTGACATCACCTCTTTTAAAGTGTCTTCTGAACGTTTAAAATATTCCTAGTCTTAAATTTCCCCATTCCTTTTTTTTTAAATGTGTTGCTAACATAAATGTCAGAATGAGAACATATTTACAAAAAGCAATAAAGTTGATACATTTAAATGTTACATCCTGTCTTTGAACTGCTTTTCTTTCAATACAGGTCAAAGTTGATGTGCAAATCACTGTTTTCTGTGTTTATTTTATTTTGTTGCGTTTCACATACTGTCCCAACTTTTTGGCCCTGGGTTTGTAATATAATAATAATGTCCAGTGTGATTTAGTTTAGTGTGATCCACTGTGTTTTTCTGTTCTACAGTGTGTTGTTAGTTTAACTCAAACCACACAAACTGACTCCTGTCACAGGTACATCAGTCTGAGGAGCCGTCGTGTCGGTTGTTTTGATGTTCAGTGTCTTTTAAACTTCTCCGACTCCAGTAACTGCTGCTCTGGTGTTTTCAGGTCCAGTAAGAAGACCGTGCCGGACGTGTACGTGGGTAACCTGGCTGTAGCCGACCTCGTTCATGTGACTGTAATGCCCTTCCTCATCCATCAGTGGGCGCGTGGGGGGCACTGGGTGTTCGGCAGCACTCTCTGCACCGTTATCACCTCCATGGACAACTGCAACCAAGTGGCCTGTGCCGCGGTAATGACCGCTATGAGCCTGGACAGGTGGGTCAGTTCACCCTGAGAGCAGATATTAGAGAACAGTTCTGTACTGTTTAATTTATGACATAAAATATGATGTTTTAAGTGATAAATGGACAGAACTTCAGAACGTCAACAGCACACGATAGAAATATAGAGATCCCCCTACTGAACTGGATCAAAGCACATTGGACTTTGAACTGACTTAGACTGTAGATTAAATCCTTTCACTGTATTTTATTAAACAGATTATTGAACTTTCCATTTTGTTTAAGTAGTAATGACTGTTTCGGTAGTGACGATATTTGTGAACATAACTCAAAAATGAAACATAGCTTCGAGCAGCTGTACACATAAAACCATCATATTTTTTGTTAAAACACAAAAATGCTGCTCACCATGTGGCCATGAGGGACAGGGATGCAGCCTCACTTCCTGTTCCTAAATGCAGGGGCGTGGCTACAATAAGGCTCCACCTACAGGCTAAACCTCTTTGTTTCAGTAGTGACATGAAAACGTGGGACAGCATTTTTTAATAACTTTTTAATGTAAAAAATAAACTCATGATAAATCAGAATATTTTAACTTGACTTTGAAAGGAAACCAACAATCTTAAAAACAGTGATATTTTGTTGTTGTGTTATTATATTATTAAGTGTGGATTTTGGGGTTAGGGTCTCGGTCAGCCACCTCCCAAAAGAAAGGACCCTATAAATGATGATTTTGTATGTAATTAGCTTATTACTGTCTTAACTAATGCCTTGGGTTTAAATAGATCAGAACACAATCATTGTAAATATCTAAGTTATGAATACAGATTTATTTGTAATATAATAGCAGTAGAAATAAATTTGTTATATTGCTCCACATAAATAAATAGAGGACCATGTTTATATTCTACACTTATGGTAAAAGTGTCATTTCAGTTCAGCTTTTTAATCATGTTTACACTGAGATGTACCACCATGAAGGCAGGAAGGGCGAAGCTTTACAGAGCAGTGTTTAATGTGGAAGTGCATTAATTCTCTTAAGATACTCATTTTCACTAGTTACCCTTCAGGCTAGCAGGATTATCTCGTCTCTGTATTTGATTGAATGTATTTGCTCTGGTTTAAATACGGGAAGGTTAAGCTGTAACAGACATGAGTTTGATGTATTCTTTACTGTGTAAGTTCCAGTGTTACAGTAACTCCTTCTGTGAAGATTCGAGCCTGAAGGCTTTTATTATTGGAGCGTTAGCCTGTTAGCCGGTGAGTCTTCTGCTGAGCTGCTCGAGAGCAGAATATAAACTGAGTCCAGGACAGAGAATATAAAGCGTGAACTAGTCAGAGTGTCAGAAATAACCAGGTATGTTCAACTGGCAGTTTGTCATCTTGATGGTTTAATGGGCTCAGATTTTAACAGTAACAGCCAGACTTTTTCACACAGTCGTAATGAAGCCGTGTTTAAATGTGATCTTACCTGCTTTCGTTTTCACTCAGCTGTTCTGAGAGCCGCACCCCCCTGAATGTCACATTAAAAAGACACTTAATGGGGCACAAAACGCTGGTTTTAAAATCAGGCACACTTTCTTTAGCGGTAATGAGGGGCACGTCTCCTCAGGGGCACAATCCAAGTGTTCAGCTGTGACGACAGACAACTTTAATTTACATTTTAGAATAACAGCAGCTTCAAATCTACTTTACAGACTCAAAATCCCCAAACGTTTATTCAGTCCTGTTAAAAGGAAGAGTGGAGTAACTCTGTTGAACATGCTGCTGTTGTTTTTTGAAACATGCTGCAGGCATCAAATTTGGAATGAGCTTATGTTTACAAAAACAAAGAACAAAAAAACATACAAAAAAACAAAAAACAACAAAGGTCATTAAGTAAAACATAAAACATAATGTTTTTGTATCATTTTCAGTTTAATACAGATCAAACAGAATTTACTAATCACTGCTGTCTGTTTTTATTAGCGTTTCACACACTGTCCCAACTTTTTTTGGAATTGGGTTTGTACATTCTTCAAGGTAGGCTTTTCATTCAAAATTTTAGTTTTGGCAGTAAATTCATGTACGAGCCACCAGCTGCACTGTTTATGTTTGTCTGAGAAAAAGACACCTTTAGATCAGAGAACAGTGAGGACACTGAGGACACTGAGGACACTGGTCATCCAAAAATATCCACACACTTCTAATTGGTGAATTCAGCTTCTTTCAGTTTCACCTGTCAGATAGAGGGGTTAAAGCCCCCCCAGCGTCGGGCTGAAGAGAGAGGAACTGATGATGTGGCAACAGCTGATTTTTAATGTAATGGCTTGAGTGTTTATCTCTGCGCTGAGAGAGAGAGAGAGAGAGACGGAGACAGAGAGAGAGGGGGGGGAAGGGGGAGAGAGAGACAGAGAGGGGGGGGGGAGAGGGGGGAGAGGGGGGGGAGGGAGAGACAGAGATAGAGAGAGAGATGGAGACAGAGAAAGACAGAGAGAGAGAGGGAGAGAGAGACAGAGAGAGAGAGGGAGAGAGAGAGACGGAGACAGAGAGAGAGAGAGAGAGAGGGGGAGAGAGGGGGGAGAGAGACAGAGAGAGACGGAGACGGAGAGAGAGGGGGGGAGAGAGAGAGGAGAGACAGAGAGAGGGAGAGAGAAACTTTATCTGTTTATGAGAAAAACACCTGTGTGGCAGTGAAATCTCTCAGTTTGCCAAACGAGGCCGACGCCGGTTCTTCCCCAGACGAGCAGAACTGAAAGGACATTTTTGGGGTTTTTGGCTTGAGGCCTGAACGAACCCAGGTAAGCGCTAAATCCTATCGAGGGAGATTCTCCTGGACTCAAACAGACTAAAGCGGTTCTGCCCTTTCCTCCGTGGTCTCAGCTGTTGAAAAAATACTTGTTTATTTGTTTATTTATTAATTTTCGTGTCGCAGTTCTGTATCGGTCTGCTCCAGTCCGCGTCTGCTGACCTTTCAGACGAGTGTGTCTCATGGAATTTCCTGTCAGGGGAGAAATTCAGCACAATCACAGGAAAATGAGGCCACCTGCATCATTTCTGCACAACCCACCACCACACAACACCTTCAGATACTCCACTAGATAAATTAGTCGCTCGTATTTTTGATTCTCTGAATCGTTCCTGCTTTATAGTCATTTTATAATGTGTTTTTTACATACTTGCGGTACTTTTATCATCTGTGTGGTTTTTATGTATTTATGTTCATTTAGTCCTTATTTGACTCTTTTAATCTGAATGTTAATTCTTTGAAAATGAATGTTTAAGTAGCTTTCGCAGTTATTATCTTACCTGTTGTCTCACTCATTCTGTCCTAGAAGCACAAGACTGTCTGAGTCGCACCTCCTGTAATAGTCGTCACACTCTGGACTCCAGATGAATCTGAGCTGTGTGTAAAATTAGGGTCACAGAGGGAGAAACGAATCTAGTTAATGTCCACTAATGCAGTGAAATGAGTGATTTGAGATGACGTCAGTCGACATGATCAGCGCTTTGATTGGTTCTTTCTTTCGTGAAACTTGCTTCACAAGAGACGCTTGAGATGATTAGGGCTGTTTCAAGTGAGCAGCGCGCTGCAGACGGCTCTTCTTCAGCCGCTAATAAACCATCCTCTGTACATCCAGACTCTCGGCTTTGGCCTTTAAATGCCACTGGACTTAAGCTGCTCAGACACGAGAGGGTCATCTGAGAGGAGCTTCTGCTTCAGACTTTAGAGTCGCAGCTTTATCACATCATTTTCTGTCACAGAACAGCGTTTATTTAGGATCTATAAAGTGATTGACAGGTCTGTGGATGAAATGGCAGACGGTCCAGTCTATGTAGAAGAGGACAGGGCAGTCAGGTGGTCTATAACGGCTCACCTGCACCTTTATTATTGGACTGAAAACAGCCTGAAATGAATGAAAGTGAATCGAGTGCTTTTCTGAATAAACAGTGAATAAACTGTGGCACAAGCAGTTTCGATAAATAATAATAATAATTATATTATTATTATTATTATATTATATCAATACAACCCCAATTCCAAAGAAGTTAGGACGCAGTGTAAAATGTAAATAAATGTAAATAAAAACAGAATGTGATGATTTGTAAATCTCATAAACCCGTATTTTATTCAGTGCAGAACACAGAACACATCTCAGATGTTGAAAGTGAGACATTTTACCATTTCATGAAAAACATTAACTCGTTTAGAACTTGATGGCAGCAGCACATCTCAGAAAAGTTGGGACAGGGCCGCGTCCACCGTTGTGTAGCATCCCCTCTTCTTTATCAACAGTCTGTGAACGTCTGGGAAGTGAGGAGATCAGCTGCTGGAGTTTAGGGAGAGGAATGTTGTCCCATTCTTGTCTGATGTAGGATTCTAGCTGCTCCACAGTCCTGGGTCTTCTTTGGGTCTTTGATGGATTTTTCATTTCATGATGCGCCAAAATTGGTGAAAGGTCTGGACTGCAGGCAGGTCAGCTGAGGTTTGGGTTATTAAGGTGCTGCGTGGTCTCATACGTTTGTTTGAGCTGACCTGGTCCTCACTGAAACAACGGGATCACTGGGTCCAGTGCAAATATACTGTCAGTGGTTACGGCCCATATTTGGTTTTCTGCTTCTCTTTCCGTTTGGTTGTGTGTTTCCAGGTGGGCGTTGCTCGTTGCCTTCCCCGGTGTGTGATTGGCTGTTTCAGTTGGCATCAGCTGTATAAGGTCTTTTCTACTCAGGGAGCTTTATTTTATTTGGTCCTGCACTGTTTAATCCACTGCCTGGTTACTCGTTAGCATGTAAAGAATTGTTTACTGTGATTTACTGGCCTTAGTGCACTCACGGACCTACAGGTACTGCAAGTTCACCAAGGGCTGCATCAGTAATTTAATCTGTTGATTCGCAAGGCAAGTCTAAAATTAGGGGCCTCGAGAATTAATAAAATAATCCAGGAATAACAGAATAAAAACAGAAGAATAAACATGGATACGAGCAGCAGAAACGGTTCGACAAACCCGTTTGTTTATTGTCATATTTCACTTGTGGAACTTGTGGAAAATGGAGACCACCAAACCTACATGAATCTAATCGGGGTCTCCTTCTCAATCGCCCAGTAAACCATTCTCTCGTCCACTAATGCGTGAAATGAGTCCTGAGATGACGTCGGCCGACATGATCAGCGCTTTGATTGATTCTTTCACTCTTCTCGCTCAGAAAAGGTTCACAAATGTGCACAGTGTCATCACAGCGACAGCCAACACTGGAAACAGCATGTTTGGAGCATCGATAGACTCTTTTCACAAGAAACAGATTTACGTAAAACTCCACAGTGGATCTTTTACACTTACAGTAATATTCTCTGAAACAATGCAGTAGATCACGCGTTTCTCAATATGCCTTAAAGTTTTTATGTTTTCACTAACTTCACGTAGGAGGGGTGTCCAGATACTTTCGGACATGCGTGTATTCCATAACGAGCAACTACTGTGAAGTATTTGTTCATTATTTTGCCCTGTTTTGTAAATAACAGTATGTCACACAGTGCCAGAGGCCACGCCAGTGTGTGCAGTGTGTAACAGGGCCTGCTGGGGGGTTTAAGCTTGTAAGCTAAACTAGCCTCGTAGCTCCAGAGCAAAACTAAAGAAGTAAACTTCAAACATCTATAGAGGGAAATCTGTGTGAAGTAGATTTTTACTGAACTCTTCCGTGGCGCCGCTGTAGGTATCTGGCTCTGGTCCATCCTTTCCGTCTGATGAGCCTGCGGACGAGGTCCAGGACGATCCGCATCAATCTGTTTGTGTGGGTGACGTCCGTCATCATGGTGCTGCCGGCCTGGCTCCACTCCAAAGTGATCCGCTTCAGAGACGGGCTGGAGAGCTGCTCCCTCAACCTGGTGTCCCCCAGAGAGGTGCTGTGGTAAGAGGCTGAGTCCATCCTCCAGTGCAGAGCTGAGAACCTGAGGTGCAGATTTAGCTGCGTCTGTCTGTTACAGTGTTCATTTCATGATGAATGAACCAAAAGAAACGGCCTGAAATGACTGATTACACGACCTGTGTGGTCAGAAACTGGCTACTGATGAAATTATGCTTTAACAGATAGCAGATGGTCACAGACTCAGACTTTACTGAACTGAAAATAAAATTAGAGCTTGGTCATTCTGAGATCCATGTTGCTTTTCTACATGATGGACAGGTTGTGTCGCACTGTGTGTGTGTGTGTGTGTGTGTGTGTGTGTGTGTGTGTGTGTGTGTGCAGGTACACACTCTACCAGACTGTGACGTCCTTCTTCCTCCCTCTGCCCCTCATCCTCACCTGCTACATCCTCATCCTCTGTTACACTTGGAGAATGTACCGCAAGAACAAGCAGGCTCGCAGGTGCGTTACCTTCACTACAGGTGTGTGTGTTGTTTCCATGCTGGCTGAGGAGTTTGACACCGTACGGTCTGAGGGTGATTCTCCCCACATGGCTCAGAGGCTTCCATCACAGATACGAGGCCCACCAGGCTGATTGGGATCTTCCCCAGCAGCTAAGGACTCTTTGCGGGCGATGAGGCCCACCAGGCCGGCGGTTTGGCATACATTACATCCAGAGTTGGAAAAGTACTTTTAAAAAGTAGTAAATATCCGTAATGTATTCAGTAATGAATCCCATCATGGTACATATCATATTCAGAATACATTTACACCCTAAAACAGCTGTGCTGAATCATCATTTGTTCATTTTTAATTATTTTTGTATGTGAGGAAAATGAATAATACAGATCAACATGAGTGGAGTAGAATCAGGAATAGACCAGTGTTCAGGTTTTTTAAACCAGCTCTCTTTATTGTGTTTAAGTCAACATATTTGTGTAGATCAGGGAGTCCAGTCTGATCTGACTGTGGGTTTTAGAGACCAACTTATTAACCCTTTGAAATCTCAGGATTATTACATACTAAGACTTATTATTCAGTAACTACAGGGAATTCAGTACAAACTAACGGAGCTATTCTTAGGTTATAGAAGTGTGTAATAACACTTTGGGGCCGCCGACAGGGCCTGGGCTCGGTAAGGGGTTAAACAAGTGGACACGCTGGCAGAGATGATTCAGTCTATGCTTAATTGGTTGTTCAGTGTGAATGTGATGGTTTTAAATTAATAGAAACAGGCCCACCTTCAAAAGGATATGAGAAGATTAAAAAACGTTTTTAATGACTGGATGTATTCTATTTTTTTTTTTTTAAAGTAACTGTTCTGAATGCGGTCAGACAGCCTGGCTATGATGCTCCCGGCCTGAGAGAGACCTTCTCCCTCAGCTCAGCTCTGTGTCTGGGCCAGATCGGTGACTCTGTACTGTAGTCTGAGTTTCTCTGCCAGCTGGGGAACTTTGAGTGAATTGGGTTGGTTTTTGTTTATTGTTGATTGTGTGATTTGTTTCTATTGTAAAGTGTCCTGGGGTTTGTGAAACGCGCTGCAGGTGTGTTGTATTCACTGCAGGTGCATTACCTTCACTGCTGATGTGTTACTCCCACTGCAGGTGTGTTACTGTCACTACAGAACTGCAGGGGTCGTACTGTAAATAATATCTGTCGTCTTACTGTCACGACAAGTGTGTTACCTTCTCTGCAGGTGTGTTACTGCTATTGCAGTCGCATTACCTCCACTGAAGGTGTGTTTGTGCATTTCAAGTGTGTTACCTTCACTGCAGGTGCCTTTTCTTCATCCCAGGTACAGTATATTACCATCATTTCAGGGGCATTATCCTCTCTGCAGGGGCAGTACCTTCATTTAGGGGCATTATATTTAATGCCAATGTGTTACTGTCCCTGTAGGTGATTTACCTCCACTGGAGGCGACACACACGGCTCAATGTCACCAATCACTGTTACACAGGCAGCCCCTGAGGACGAACTGGACCCTGAATCCACTCATTTAAAATGGATTCTTAACAAGCTGCTCATGGGGTTTTGCTAGAGGTGGGAGTTGGTAATACATATGGATGATTAGCAAGAAATACAAGAAATACAAGAAAATCTGACATTCACATTCGCTTATCAAGTGAAATAAGTAGATTTCATTAAACATAGTTCTTTTTTTCATTTTTGTTCAATATGTCTCTATCAGATTATTTCCTGCCCTGAAATCTGATTAATGAATGTGTTTCTCATTATGTCTGTGTGCTTTAATAAAGGGAAGTTATTATTCTAATAAAACTGGGCTTTTATACACACTGTTCTCCAGAAGAGGGTTCAGAGGGAACTAAAGAGCTCCTAATAACTGAGAAATGTGCTTTGGAGAAAAATATTTAATTTGTGTTTTAATACCTTTTTGAAGGTTATAGGTCAGATCTCTCTCATATGTTCATAGCTTTTTGCTTATCTTTACCAAAAGTGCCAATAATTTTGAAAGAAAATGTAAACACACTGTGATGAGGTAGAATAACTCAGACGCTCACGGATAAAAAGATAAAGTGAGGCTTTAATGTTAGAAACACAGTCCAAAAATGTGGTCAGAGAACAGGCAAAGGTCAAATCCAGAAATGACGACAGACACAAAAACACAAACATAACCTGGCAACCAGAGTCCGAGGGGCAAAGTGAAAAAGGGAAAAAGTCAAAATACCAAAATGTAGTCAGAACCAGAAGAATGACAAAAAGCAGATGAAGAACATTCAGGAGCTCGAAGAACAAGGAGCAACTCCTCGCAATGAACTGACCGACAGGCTGGGCTCTATACTAACACTAATCATACGAGAACAGGGCTAACAGAGAGCAGTGATTGGAGCGAGATGGAGGGCTGAAGATCACATGAACCCCCGGGGGGGATTCTGGGAAATGGAGTCCTTAGAGACCTCTGACCCCGAAGGATGCGTGACACACACTAGCGTACTGTACAGATCAAAAGTTAGAAATCACTTTGTCATATAAACTAATATTTTGTTATCTATAGAAATATTGCTATTATGGCATCACAAAAAACTATAAAACATTATGTTTTATACTGAATATTAATTTTATTATGACTACTTTCTCAATGTTTATTTTATTATAACTTCACTAAGAGGTATTCTTTTATTAGAACTATTTTGAATATTAATATTATGTTTTTTTCTGGATAATAATATTTGTTATGGGTATAATTGGGTATAACGTCATTATGGGTATTTTTATTAGAACTATTCTTTCTGAATATTAATGTTATTATAACTTTATTCTAGATATTTTATTTTGATGTTCTGGATTTTAATTTTATGATGACATAATTGTGGATTTTATTTTATTGTAATTGTATTTTAAACGTTAAAGTTAATCTATTATATCTTATCAGTTATAACTGCTCTGGAATTGTAGTATATATTATGAATAATTTTATTGCAGCTTTATTCTGGATATTAATTTAATCAGAGCTTCATTTTTGACACTGAGCTTTGTTCAACTGTCTCAGTCACCTGTGAAGTTGTAGCATCATGTTTTGATAATTTTCTGTATTAGTTTTATGTATTTATTTTGTCTGTGATCATTTGAACCGTAGTCGATTCGCACGGCTGAGCGTGTGTGAAGGTCCCGATTCACTGTTCTCTGTTGTTTTTCAGGTACAGCACCAGCGTGCCCCGTCAGCGCGTGGTCCGACTCACCAAGATGGTTTTGGTGCTGGTGGCCGTGTTTTTGGTCAGCGTGGCGCCGTATAACATCCTGCAGCTGGTCAACCTCCAGGTGCCGCGGCCCTCGCTGGCCTATCACACCTGCTACTACCTGAGCGTGTGTCTGAGTTACGCCTCCAGCAGCATCAACCCCTTCATCTACATCTCCCTCAGCGGACACTTCCGCCACCGCCTGGTCTGCCGCGACGCCCCGAGTGTGCCCAGCGGCGGAGAGCAGAAGGCCGAGACACGGGTCAGCTTTGACTGAAGGGCTGCGGTCATTCGTGATCTTTCATGAGTCACAGCTTTTCTTTAGTCACAGCTCTGTGTCCCAGTTGGTGGTGTTGGAGGGGTTAAATTGGACTGGAATGCACAGCTGTTGTTTACAGTTTAGTGTTTGATCGCCCACTTTATGATTTTACACATTTAATCACATTTTCACAGTGGACTGAGAATGGAGAGCTCCATATATGTTAGCAGCCATGGAGGAACTCGATTGGCTCTCCTTCCTCCTGAATTCCAATTGAGTCTCTGCCTTTTGAGGTGAAACACTGGAGCACAGTTTCAATACTGAACCCACCAGCTGTCCGTCACACTGAACGCCCGACTGAAAGGCTCCATCCTTTATGAAATGTCACACTGTTGTTTTGAAATAAGCGTCTCTGTGTATTGAACTCTTTCAGAAGGTCAGACAGCCTGAGTCACCTGTCAACACGGAGAAGAGCAGAGAATACAGAGTAAAGCAGAGACTCTCACTGGCCGCTTTGTTACGTACACCCACCTTATATCTGCACTCGATGTCCATTTTATCAGCTCCACATACCAACACTGTGCGAAGGTCCACCGGTCATTCATTTCATTTCCAGTCTAAAGGGCCGTAAAGTGCAAGCGATTTATGTTCAGGAGAGGAGATCAGACATTAGATATGAGACTCGCATAAGGAAGGAGGAAGTGTAACTATGTAAGTAAGGAAATTTTAATTATAGAGCAAATTTGAAACCTTTATAATAAAACACAAAAAGGAATTTACACCTTCTGATCATAACCGGCACTTTAACAGCAGCTGAACGCTAATCAATAATGAGATTTTTAGGGCGTATCTAATGTCACTCAGATCATTCCAAAGTCTTGGTGCAGCAAACGCACGACCCCCTTTTAGTTTAAGACGAGATTGTGGAACAGTTAAAAATGATTGGGATGCTGACCTTAATGACCTTGAGGGCGCTTACATACAAAGCATGTCCACAGCATATGCAGGTTCCTGACCATTCAAGGCTTTAAAAAGCATTATTGCCATTGTAAATTGGATTCTGTACTGGGAGCCACTGGAAGGTGGAAGGTGGAAGAAAAAGAGGTGTAAAAACAGGAGTTTCCAAAAAACAGATTAAAAGATACAGAACAAATTGGGCTTCTAACGACTGCGCAAGACCTAGTAGAGCACCAAACTGACACCATCAGGAAAACAGGACTTTTATCTTTGAGAGATGTGAGAACATCAAGCTCCACTCTTGCTTCAGATCTGAAACAGTCCAGAATATTCTGGATTATAATCCAGGTATTTCTGTCCATCCTTACTCTGTGAGAGGTTAACTCAACACCACAGCCTGAATGATGTTAGAGAGAAAAGAAAATGAACAGAAGTTGTGAAGATTTGGAAATCAAACAAATAACCTGCTGATGTTCTCAGAACAACAGACTGTCCACCCCAGAGTCCAGACCTCAGCATCACTGAACGTGTTTGGATTATTTTAGAAAATGATTGTAAGACTGAACTTTGGAGGTGTGAAAAACATCCCTGCAGATGTTCTTTGAAAGACTGAAAATACGACTCCTGAAAAGCAGCTTTAATAAAGACAAAGTAAATATAAAAAATATTCTATATCCAGTTGTTGAGGGTTCAGTGGAATTTTATATTAAATATGTTTTCTGTTTTTCCTGATGCTGAAAAATGAATAACTTGCACTTAAAGGCGCAGTATATACATTTCTTATTATTGAAATTTGAACTCAGCAAAGCAAACACACCCCTCCCTTCAGTGCTCCTTCAGAAGCTCCGCCCCCAAATTCATGGACGAGCATTGCCAAGGCGACCGACACTGGACTGGCAAACTTGTTTTTATAAATCTCTCTGGCTGTAAAACTCTTTGCAAATGTTGTGCGACAAATACCGTTTCAGCGCAGGAGTGAACAACCACACAGCGAGTAGTGTAGCTAACGTTAGCCTGGCTGTGGGTTAGCAGACTGTCGCTACAGTTGCTGCTACAAAGCTAACCAGCTACTATCGCAAACATTAGCAAACAGGACAAAACGATACCAACCTGGTTCTGCGAAACAGCAAAAATAAGTTGATGTTGCCCAGAAACGGAGCAGCCTCCTCATCCCTTTTCATGCCTTTAACTCTCTAAAGTTAGCCTCACGTTCCACCTTAAATGGTGCAGCTGTTACTTTCCTGCGCACGAATGTTCCCTGTTGCTGATTGGCCGGAATAGTGCTGTGGGGCTTTTCTTAGGTTATAGAAGTGTGTAATAAAACTCACCATGGCTTGTTAAGAGGTTAACGAGTAGCCTAAATAAAGTAGGATGATCACTCAATCATATATATATATATATATATATGCGTAAAGTCAGGTAGGTCACAGAGACGGAGCCTTCAGTCCGACGGCCACAGCTGCCCAGCAAAACACCAAAAATAACTGTCCTGTGGTTTTAATTCCTGCTCTGTGTTTAAATGGTGGATTTTACACAGTTATAGGCTTTCAATGTTGTGTCAACAGTTTAGGGAAGTCCTGTTCCAGCTGTCCCCTGTGGAGTCCATAAAGACTGGTTTGGTGTGGTGGAGGTGGTCTGCTCAGAGTGCTGACCTCAACCTTACTGAGCACCTTCGGTTTGAAGTGGAATGTTGAATTAAAGCCAGTCTTTCTCATCCAGCGTCAGTGTCTGACCTCAAACACACTGAATTCACTGAATGGCCTTTCTGGAAGAGAGGAGCCCAAATCCATTCCACACTAATGTCTTTTCAGCAAGCTTATATAGGGCTGATGGTCAGATGTGTCCCAATTCAGGGGCTGCATCCTTCGAAGGACGCGGTCTAAGAGGGCTGTGTAGATTCGCGAAGGCTGAACCAAACTAACACAGTTATTCCTGTTTGCATCACAGCACCGCTGTTTCCCCCTCACTGCTGCATCACAAACGCTGCTCCTTCTTCTGGAGTTCTTTAAAGACGAAGCCACAAACTCTGATTTTAGTTTTTTATTTTTTCATTCATTAGAGCTGGAGATGCCCTGCAGGTGGCATCTGCGCTGGAGCGTGACGCATCTTAGACTGACGAGGCTTTTTTAACGTGTCTATCGTTTGCTGTTCAACTCAGTTCAAACCCAGTACTTGCATTGAAAGCGTCTCCTCAGCCGCCGTTCGCTCCTCTGCTGACGCCGCCATGTTCTCGAGTCCTCGCCTCACCTCGGGATATGTTGGCTGGTGAAGGATCCACCCGTTGAATCGGTTTGGTTCGTTGCCGTGGAAAAGGAGGACACAATTCTTGGCCGCATATGAAGGAGCCTTCGAAATGGGACAGTCTAATCACACAGCTGTGACACAATCGGCCTTCAAATGCAGCCTCTGAAGGACGCAGCGCCCAAATTGGGACACAGCTTCTGTCATATTATCAGCATTTATTACTGTCACCTCAATAAGTGTCGTTATATTGACCTCAGCAGTTGCTGAATGCACAAAAGACTGTGATGTTTATTGAAGTAAGTGTTTGTAAATGTTTGTGTCCACTCACTGGCCACTTCATTAAGTCCAGCTCGTTGTTTCTGCACTCACTGTCCACTTTATCAGCTCCACTGACCATAGTTTCACAGTGTTCAATCCACTCTTACCAGCGCAACACACACTAACACACTAATAACCCATACGGAAAAAATATACAGACGTGTATTTTTATATGTTTGAAATAAATGTCAGACACACTGCAGTCGATGCTGAAATACACTCAAACACTGTATTTCAGAATATTTTGCCATAATAACCAAATATACTATAAAACGTGTGTGGAAATTTTACACACAGACAAAAATAACTGTATGTAAATGTGTTTATCAAATCCGTCTGAAAATGTGTGAAAATATCCAGAATCCTGTCTGATGCTCTTCACTGTCTGATACCTTTAGAAATGAATTTGTGTTCCAGTATCTTCATTTTAAATCTGATCAAATGATCCTTTAACAGGACAGAAGCGAGTGTTGTGGGTATTGATACTCTGTGAAAATGCAGTTATGATCTGATATCTTGTTTATGTGAAATACATTGTGTGTGAGAGTCTGACTGCAGACGTACATGGTTAATGTAAAGTACAGTGCAGATCACAGAAGAACGTTTAGTTACATCTGGAACCTTCATTACACTCAACTGAACACAGATAATAACTAATACTGATAAATCCATTTTAAACGTATATTTAAAAAGAGAAATCAAATGTATATGCATATTTGATTTTTCCTTTCTTTGTAGCTTCATAAACTCCAGCCAGGCCAGAACTGACTCTGTGAAATGCTCAGGTGTAAATAAGCAAACAGGGTTTTATCATTTGTCATGGTGTCTTGGCGCCCTCTGCTGTTTAAGAGCTGTTATAACACAGATGTTCACAACTGTACATTATTTTGGTAGCAGGTCATTTGGGAAGGTATTAAATATTGCTGTGCTTTTGTGTTTTAATCATTATTTCAGCTTATAAATGATACAGTAGCAGTCAAAAGTTTGAAACACCTGTTTATATACATTTTTTTCTTTGTTTTTACTATTTACCACATTTTAAAATGATAGTTGGAGATCAAACTATAAAATAACATGTGGAATCATGCACTGACCAAAAAAGTAGGGGATGCATGATGATAAGAGCCACACTGGTATTATGGCAGATGTTTAGATATGACAGATGTTTCTGATTGATGCCTGATGAAGTTCTGATTGTGTGCTGGAGGAGCAGAATGTTTAAGGCTGCTGTGATCATTTGACTCATTTTATTAGAGCTGCAACCTTATAGAATAAATGATATATTTCTCTGTAACGCTGATCCAGGTGGCTTTAGCCCCATTTTCACCATTCTGTAAATGTTCATGTTTCTGTATCGGCCCGTAATTCCAACATCAGCGCATCCCTAAAAGAATAATGAACAAAGCCAAAACGTTTTTTCCACTTCAGATTCTCCTCTTTTCATAGATGCAGCTTTACGCTGTCTTGGTTTTCACTGGAGCAGCTTCATGAGGAGCCGT